GACGTCAGAAAAAGAATTCCTTTCTCAATGCAAGCGATTAAACCACATCTGGATGATGATTGGCAAGGAACCTGGTTTAGGCGAAAGATTTCTCACTAAGCTCAAGATCGATAATCCAATTTGCCCCGTTTTCTATAGCTTAGTGAAAACGCACAAGCTCTACCCGTTAGACATAGAAACGCTGTCCATAAAATCTTGCAAGATTCAACCAATAATCAGCTATGTTGGCGGACCCTGTGATAGGATATCTTGGCTCCTGAATAAGATTATCAGTCAACTTTTGTGTGAAGTTCCTTCCCATCTACCCAACACTAACCGGTTCCTTGAACTTTTATGCAACACGAATTTTGACCAAAGTTGTGTTATGGAGTCATTTGATGTGTTGTCGTTGTACACAAACGTGTCCAAAAACGATGCTCTCCAAGCGCTTTCTGAGTTGCTCGATGCACATGCTAATAGTATGGAACTGTATGTCAGAATTATGTCTCTTGTCAAGGAATGTCTTGGTTGCAATATTTTCGAGTGGTGCGGAAGGTACTTCACTCAATTAAGAGGACTGGCAATGGGGCAAAGACTTGCACCCGTGCTTTCTATCTGTTTTATGTATAAGATCGAACAGCCGGTGCTAGAACGATACATCCCAATGTACTACCGCGATTGCTGATTGTTGCATTACCACATCCACTCAGTCCGAAATGTATAGTTTTTCAGAATACTCAGTCAACAATCGCAGTATATTAGTCTTACAAGGGAAAAGCCACGCGACGATTGGTTGCCGTACCTCAACGCACAGTTGATGTTGGTCCACGGAGCGGTACACGTAAAATGGTATCGAAAGGACAGCTCTAAAAATATCATTTTACACGCAAAATCTGCCCATCCTACTTATGAAACGTGCAATAATTCGCAATATATTTAAAACAGCAGTTGGTATCAGCAGTGGTAAAAGTGAGAGACAGGAGTCTATAAGAATGGATCCCAAAAAATAACCAATAACGCTATTCTCTCCAACCCAGATCTTCCACAAGAACTACCATGAACAAAAGGGAACATACTGGAACTAAAGTTCCATTATGTTTCCCATTCATCTCCGACAAATTGACCGCCGCATTCAAGCAATGCTTAGTGCGAGCATAGTTGGAAAACGATGTTTTCCTCGTGAACATTCCTCAGAATAATATCAAGAGACAATTAGTTCGCAATAGATAATATGATAGAGCTTGCATCACGGCGAATTGCGTAGTGTGTCCAAATGGAAGATTGGGAGATTGCTGCAAATGCGGAGTAGTTTCAACCGGAGTGAGCGGATTGCCATGCAACCTACATCGGCGAGACCGGTCGACCACTGTACATGTAAATGAGCACTTGGCTAGTAAAAGAAGACAGAGTCTTGTGACCCCTTTGGGAAAGCATAGGAAAGAAGACCAGAACGGCGCCGATTTTAACATAAGATGCACAATTCTAGCGTTGGAGGAAAATATCTCTTCTCA